AATTTTTTTCACAATTATAATATAAAAATTTTTAAAAAAGGGTAATCTTAGTTATATAATCATTCAATAGATTAAATGCACCAAAAAATTATAATGTGCCGCATAATGAAATGCCTATGTTAACATAGCCTTAAATTTCTTCCACTCTTCATAAAAGTAATCAATCGTTGTCTCGCCTACCATTCAATGAACCAAATCTATGAACAGAGTTTGCACCTTGCATATCATAGACGCAATCCCGAATAGACCCATTATGACTAATGAAACACCACTGGCAAAAAAGATGAGAAAGTTGAGTCACCCTCGCATCAGTGCCATACCCATTCACACTCACAAAATTAATGGGCACCCGATCTTCGTGGATTCCCTGACAAAGGAAAGAGCTTTTTCGAGCTTCTTACATTAATTGTTTGTCTGAAGCAAAAACCCTAGTTAGTTCCTCAATTTGACTTTGTAGGGGAATCAATGCACATTCCTTTAACGAAGAACCAACAGATACATAGGACAAGGAAAAGCTGAATAACGAAAGAAGAAATCAAAGAGCCAAGAACCAAATCTCCATCATGTGTCTATATCTCTTCATTTACCCACCAAGGCTGAATGAGGAAAGACGAAATCAACCCAAACAAGAATATAGCAGTTTGCATTTGATAAAGAAACCAGCCAAGTTACAGTAATATTCAACTAAAGGATTTGTATAAAGAGGGCAAAAGAATTATTGTCCCCTCTGTTAGCAAGAAAATTACACGCCACTAAAAGGGTTTAATTTTTTTTTCTTTTTTGTTTCCAAATTTCCATCTACTTGATCTCATCTCCTTCTTAATTTCACCAAAGTCAGTAAACAGAATTACCCATAATTATATATCTACTCTTCTTTCATCATATTGGATGGTATAATGTCCTGAAGAAGTCCATTGTCTTTAAGAAAGGCCGATACCGGGGCTGGAGTGCAAAACCGCCTCTCATGAAGAAGACTAGTGCCATTTTGAGGGAAGTTCAGAGGTGATAAGTTGTTGAGGAAGGGGTGTTGATGGTAGAGAGATGGAGTGGTCACTTGCATTGACATGCGAAAGGGTGCGGCAGCAGCTCCGGCGACCGAGGTCAGCTGAGCACCACCGCAGAGATTTGGACGAGGCATGATTGGGCTTGGGTGCGTGTGCTGTCCTTCATATGTTGTGACTACAGTGCTTGGATCACTGAAAGATCTCTCAACCCTTTTCTTCACATTACATGACGCACTGGTGCAACGATAATAGCTCCTGAATCAAAAACAAAGTAAACACATCAAAATTTTTGGAAAATTTCAGTTTTGGAAAGAGAAAATGAGAGGAATAGAGGCATTGAAATTAGTACCTAGGATAAGGGCTGTTTTTTACAGCTTTTTGGCCGTACTTTCTCCATCTGTACCCATCTTCCAAATGATCAACCTCACTCTTTGTCATGAACGCAAACCTCGGCTCTCTCTGTCTCTTCTGATTTGTCTTCTTGGGTTTGGGTTTCAACCTATAGATCCACAAAAAAATACAAAACAATCAAACAAAATCCTCAGTTTCACACATCCCATAACCGGAAAAGAAAATTTTTTTAAAAAAAAGTCTCATCTCGGTCTTGAATCCCACAACCATCGCAGAATTAAAATTTGAAGACAGTGAGTACTGATTGGTACCCCATCTGTCTTCTCAACCTAGCTGTGCATGTTCCCCAAATGGGTTTCGCTCTTAACGTTACCAAACCAAATCACAAACAAAAAAAGATCAAACCTTTTTGTCTCTTCAGAAATGGGTTTCTCTCAAGATCAAAAAAAGAAGCATAAAAAAAAGTAGGGGAAACTCACTGCTTTTTTGTTTTCTGTTGATCTTCTTCTTGGTCTTCAACTTTGACCGGTTCATCATTCACAGCCTCACATGATTCTGACGAAATAGAGGAAGAGTTAGGCGTGGCAGGAGGATTCAAAACCTCTGGAGATTCAATCTTTCCACCGGCCGGATTCAGAACCGACGTCGGCGCCATAGTTGTCACCTGCCCCTCATCTAACAGAGAAGGACCAAAATCTTGAAGACCCAAAAGCTCCATAAACCCTAATGAACCACTGTTCTTCTCCCCTTCACCCAAATCAAACACCCCTTGGTAAGAAGTCGGGATATAATCCAGAAATGATGAAGATCCCATCACCTCCTCCATCTTTACCTCTTTCTTTCCCTCCATAGGTGACTCAAACCCACAATTTCTTCATCAAAATCCAAACTCGATGTAAGAAAAGGAGAAAAGGTTAGTACTTGTAGTAATGAGAGAGTGAGAGAAAGAGACGGAGGGAGAAACGAGGAGAGACTTTAGTTTAGAAGAGAGTGAGATTTGGTTAGGGGAATGGGGGAGATAAGAGTGTGGGGGGAGCTGAAGGAGGTCGACCGGCAAATGTAGGTCCAAATCCTGTACGGATATGAACAGTTCCGGTTGCCATTCAATGCATTGGTCCTGACAGTATGGTCGACGCTTTCATATGTAGGATTTTGACCACAGAACCGGTTCCCGGTGTGAACGGGGTTGGGACACACGTGAGATTCTTACGGCGTCAAAGGTACGTTCGAGTTTTTATGCATGTGAAATGATGAATTACATTGATTCTCGCTACGAGTGACTTTGGTTTATTTAGACAAGGTTTTTTTAACATGTCTGTGGGGTATATGTCTTAAAAATATAATTAATAAAATTTTTAATTATTAAATTATATTAAAAAAATAAATTTTAATTTTAATTAATTAAATTAATATATAATATTAGTGTTTAATTTAATATTAATTTTTAAATTTTTTATGTAATTTAATAATTAAACATATATTAATTATATATTTAATCTATATTTTATTAACATATGTTAGAAAATATTTTTTATACAACCACGTGGAGGTTGTAGGGTGAGAGCTTTAAATATTAAATAGAAAATTTTTGAGGTGGGATTTGGTTGTTATGAAGAGATAATGTTATATAATTTGAATCGGTTTGATGCATTAATAAATAAATATCATGTTGTAAATTGATTTTAATTTTTAAAATTTAAATTAAATACTTAAAAAATTATTTTTTTAAATATATTAAATTATAATATGAAATATATTTTTAAAATTACTTAAAAATTAATTTTAAAATACATTAAAATTAATTAACTTAAAAGTTTTACAAAGACAATATACTATTAATTTTGTTTTGAACTAAGAGAAATTAGAGGAGAAAGAAAAATCAGAATATAAAAGAGTTAAATCTTGATAGTGTAAGTAGAGTATTCACACAATAACCACATAAGTCACGGATTCGGTTAATTATTCAATTAATTACTTAAATTAAAGTGAGGGGGACTTGGATAATATTAAAGATAATGTAGGGACGGGTGTCATTGTCTGTATTTATAATGTAATGGTACTACTATAATGTCACTGTAGTCAAGCTACATCTGCTTCCAAAAATCAAAAATAGTGCTAGAAAAAAATATTTTATTATTTATATTGTATTAAATTATAAAACATAAATTTTTAAATGAGAAATATATTTATTAATTAAAAAATAAAGAGTAAATTTTT